CAAATTAAATCTAATCAGTTTTGAACTCTGGATTTTTGCGATCTGCTTCTCCTCCCCCCCCTTTGTTGTTTCTCCTCTTCCTCCTCCTCCTCCTCCTCCTCTTCTTCCTCCTCTATCTCCCCTTCTCTTTCTATCTTTTCATGTATCTCTCTATATTTCTTCTCCCCCCCCCCCCCTGCCCCCCGGAACTTGTTCATTTTATGTTCGTTAAGCGCGTGCAAATGGAATCTAATGAGTTTTCAACTTTGGTTGTTTGCTTATTCCTCCTTCCCTCCTTCTCCGTTTTTTTTTCCTTTGTTTTATCTCTCTTTCTTTCTCCCCCTCTCTCCCTGACCCCCTGAACTTCTGCGTCGCTGGAGTTCGCTATCCATGGGCCTCGTTAATGGGGCCGACGCAAGCGTCAATTCATTTCTATAACAAATATTAAGATACTCCCAATCTATAAGGAATCCATAGGAATCTGAAGAAACTCGAAGGAATCGATCGACATCTATAAGTATTCGTATAGAAAGCTATAGGGATGTAGAAAAAAGGACCATATGACTCAACACAAAATTCATAGGAATCTATAAGCATACGTAGTAATCTCTTTAGAAACCAATGGGAATCTTAGGGGTCCTATAAGAATTATAGGAATGTGCACAATTCTATAAGACACTGTTTGATTTTTTTTTTTGGTATTTTTCAAATATAGAATTGAAGATCGGAGGTGCGCAACCGCGCGCGCGGCGGCGCCGCACCGAGCTTCACTTCTATAGGATTCATCATTACTAAACCGACATTTAAGATTCTAAAAACGAATTTGAAAATTTCGGGGGCCCTCTACGGAGGCTGAAGGAGCGCGTCGGCTTTGCATATTTTTTATAATACAGAACTGAAGCTCGGAGGTGCGCGCGCGCACGCCTCTGAGTTTCATTTCTATATTATTAACAGTTAATAAATCTACATTCAATTTGAAAAACGAAATTGAAAAACATCTGAAGCCCTTCTAAGGAGGCTGAAGGAAAGTGTTGGTTTTATATTTTATAATACGCGTTCCTCCAGCCTCCTTAAAGGGCACCCGAAAATTCTAATTTCGTTTTTAAATTAAGTGTATATTTATTAATGGTGAATAGTGTAGAAGTGAAGCTCAGAGGCGCGCGCGCGCGGTGGCCAGGTCGCCCGCGCGCGCGCACCTCCGAGCTTCAGTTCTCTATTATAAAAATATAAAAAGCCAACACGTTCCTTCAGCCTCCTTAAAGGGCTCCATTTTTTTTTTGTTTTTTTTTTTTTTTTGTTTTTTTTAAAAAAAAAAAAAAAAAATTGTTTTTTTTTTTTTCCCAACCATCCTGTGGTGTTGGGTCCTCGTTTTGAAGAGACGGTGCCCGCGTCCTCTCCTCTCCTCCTCTTCCCCCTCCTCCCTCCTCCCCCTCCTTGCCTCTGCTCTCGGCACACCTCTCACGCGTTTCGTAGCCCCATAGGGAGCTCCACCGAAGGCCCCAGTGGGGGTGTCCACATGCGGTTCCCCCACCCAGGGCAGCGTTTCGTGGCCCCATAGGGAGCTCCACCGAAGGCCCCAGTGGGGGTGTCCACATGCGGTTCCCCCACCCAGGGCAGCGTTTCGTGGCCCCATAGGGAGCTCCACCGAAGGCCCCAGTGGGGGTGTCCACATGCGGTTCCCCCACCCAGGGCAGCGTTTCGTGGCCCCATAGGGAGCTCCACCGAAGGCCCCAGTGGGGGTGTCCACATGCGGTTCCCCCACCCAGGGCAGCGTTTCGTGGCCCCATAGGGAGCTCCACCGAAGGCCCCAGTGGGGGTGTCCACATGCGGTTCCCCCACCCAGGGCAGCGTTTCGTGGCCCCATAGGGAGCTCCACCGAAGGCCCCAGTGGGGGTGTCCACATGCGGTTCCCCCACCCAGGGCAGCGTTTCGTGGCCCCATAGGGAGCTCCACCGAAGGCCCCAGTGGGGGTGTCCACATGCGGTTCCCCCACCCAGGGCAGCGTTTCGTGGCCCCATAGGGAGCTCCACCGAAGGCCCCAGTGGGGGTGTCCACATGCGGTTCCCCCACCCAGGGCAGCGTTTCGTAGCCCCATAGGGAGCTCCACCGAAGGCCCCAGTGGGGGTGTCGCATGCGGTTCCCCCACCCAGGGCAGCGTTTCGTGGCCCCATAGGGAGCTCCACCGAAGGCCCCAGTGGGGGTGTCCACATGCGGTTCCCCCACCCAGGGCAGCGTTTCGTGGCCCCATAGGGAGCTCCACCGAAGGCCCCAGTGGGGGTGTCCACATGCGGTTCCCCCACCCAGTTTCGTGGCCCCATAGGGAGCTCCACCGAAGGCCCCAGTGGGGTGTCCATGCGGTTTTCGTGGCCCCATAGGGGCTCCCGAAGGCCCAGTGGGGGTGTCCATGCGGTTCCCCCACCCAGGGCAGCGTTTCGTGGCCCCATAGGGAGCTCCACCGAAGGCCCCAGTGGGGGTGTTCGCATGCGGTTCCCCCACCCAGGGCAGCGTTTCGTGGCCCCATAGGGAGCTCCACCGAAGGCCCCAGTGGGGGTGTTCGCATGCGGTTCCCCCACCCAGGGCAGCGTTTCGTGGCCCCATAGGGAGCTCCACCGAAGGCCCCAGTGGGGGTGTCCACATGCGGTTCCCCCACCCAGGGCAGCGTTTCGTGGCCCCATAGGGAGCTCCACCGAAGGCCCCAGTGGGGGTGTCCACATGCGGTTCCCCCACCCAGGGCAGCGTTTCGTGGCCCCATATAGGGAGCTCCACCGAAGGCCCCAGTGGGGGTGTTTGCATGCGTCTCC